CTCTGTTTTTTCTCCCCAACTCTTTTATGAGATTTGAGACTTTGGCAACACTTTAATATTTGCTTCGAGTTTGCAGTGTGTTTCATGCTCCTTGCAGTGTTAGGAGCCAGCATTGAGCACTTGCTAGTAGAGAGTTCAGTTCCTACTATGGCCTGTCCCTGAGCCTTTTTCTAATGTTCTCCTTCACTTGGTGAGCTATATGCTGCCACCAAAAGTAGTTTTGTTGGCTTCAGAATCTTCCTAATATGGTGAAGTGGGAGTTAAGACATAACAGATAAACTGTAGAAGTCATGAATCTGGTCTAAAAGCCATCTTAAATTCCCAGGCCCGTTTAAAATGTTAAAACACCGTGTTTTCTCTCCCCTTTTTAAAATGACTTTGAGACTGTTGCTCTGCTCTCGTGTGCTTAGACTGTGTGGTGTTTTTTTCATGTGTTTACCTCAACACCAAAGAGTGTTTAGAAAGAAAATAGCTGTCTTTTTCACCACCTCCTCGGAATAACAAATTGCTTCTATTTATATAGAACCCCATCCCAGGCTTCTGGATGCCTTGTAAATTATGGCAAAAACTGTCTTAAATAAGTATGGGTTCATAAGTATCTTATTTGGGTCATGTTTTTTAACCATTTAATTTTTTTAATTTTCTACAAACTTTCACATATAGTATTTCTAAATTTAGTCACTGGTATTTAACATGGCAATGAATACTGGGTACTAAAAAAAATTAATAGAGCTGTATAATTCTGTCTTTAAAGTTTCAGACACAGTAATATGGAGCTCCAAGTTATTTCCTGCTTGCTTTAAACATGAACTGTCATGACTTAAGTTGACTAACTTTGGAGACATTTGCATTCTAAACATACTAGACAGGAACAACTGGTTTTATTTTAAAGGAGACATTGCTGTATTTTATGGCTGGTTATATGTTCACTTAATTAGTGTCCAAACCTTCCTAGATGTTCAGGTGCTCTAGTTCCTCAGTTACATTGGAAGCTAAAACAATTTAACTTGTTAAAACATGACCTAGTAGTCAAAAGGTAAAATTATGCTTAGAAGTGAAAACAATGTTTTAAGGCATAAATACTAAACCACTGAATTACTATAAGCCACAAGAGTTCAGTGGTTTGAGTGGCCACATTCTAAAATTAGACAAGTTTTTTGGTTGCCACTTGTTTCTCTTTCATCTTTAAACTGTTTGCTAAATAAGATTTAACCATTTCACATTTATAATTTAAAGGTAAGTCGTGAAATGTACCATTAGTTAAAGATAAAAACATTATGACAATAACAGAGGAAAGACTTAAAATAGTTCAAACAGGCTAGGATATGCCTCCTAACACTAGGATATTCTAACTAAGATTACTTTTAATTTAATACAGTAATTGCAGCTGGTTTACATTTAATTTTGTGATTTTTTTTTTTTAAAAATGAACCTTTTATTTAGAACTTTTCCCCCACAAATTTAGAGTTTTCTTGCTTTGCTGGATCCACAAGAGTGGAAAGAAAATAATTATATTTGAATAAATCCTGAATTTGAGGTGAGATGAAATTATATAATAAGAGGGGAATTGGCAGAGTAGGTTAGAATTTCAATTCTGCCACTAACTAGCTTCATGTGCCTGTTTTCTTATCCTCACAGTTAAAGGGTTGGTGTAGAACCCCCATCATCCCATAGAACTTTCTGCAATAATGGAAATGCCCTATATCAGTGCTGTCCAGTATAGTAGTTACTAGCCACATGTGGCTATTGAGCACTTAGGGTAGGTAATGCAACTGAGGGACCCGATTGTTTTTCCCCCAACTTCATTGATGTGATCCGTGTACATTTAAATAGCTGCATCTATGCCATATTGGACATATAGATATGCAACAGTATTTCCCAAGCTCAGCTAATCCCTAGAATCATCTCTTACTGTAGATTTCTTGTAAAAATACAAAACCTCTCTCCTGGATGTTATCATTCAGTAGGCTTGTAGTGGGGTCTGGGAATATATGTTTTTAATGCATGTCCCACAAAGTTTATCACATTGGCTAGGGAAACACTGCATTAGAAGATTTCTGAGCTCCCTTCTAGTTCTCACTTTAATATTGATAACTTAGCATAGTGGAAATGAGCTCTGGCTGAGTTGGCAAAGTGGCCTGGTTTTAGCTCTGCCACCTCCTGCCTGTGATCTTAGGCAAGTTCCCTAATCTCTTGAGCTTCATTTTTCTCATCTAAAATATGGGCTGAAATCTGCCTCCCTCCCTCCTAAGGTTTCTGTAAATTTCTAATCAGATGTGACCATTGTATAAGAAAATGTAAGCTGCTATAAATGATAATTTAAGTGTTATCTTTCCAGGATTCCTTTTCTTTGTCCCTTTTCACTGTGTTACCCAATTCCTACTTCATTCTTAAAGAACCGGTTGTATATAGTATTTCTTAATTAATACAGTAATTTCTTGTCTTCCCCACTATTTGGCCAGTTTTGCCGTCTAGTCCTAGGACATACTAAACCTAACACTTTTTTGTATTTCTGGTGCTTAGCATAATGATTTGTATCTATTGCTCAGTAAGTATTGGTTAATACCACCTATTACTTTAATTTTAGGTTTCAAAACTTTAATTAGTTAGTTTCAGGTTATTTTATGCACCAGAAAAATAACCTCCTGTGTCCCCATAGGTGTTTAACCTTTTTTTTTTTAATCTTTTTATCTTTTTTTTTTTTTTAGAGAGAGGAAAAGGGAGGGAGGGAGGAAACAAACATCGATGTGAAAACAAGAAACATCGATCTGTTGCCTCCTGTATTCGCCCCGATCCAGGATTGAACCCGCCAACCTGGTTATGTGCCCTGACCGGGAATCAAACAGGTGACCCTTTGGTGCACAGGGCAATGCTCAACCAACTGAGCCAGGGTGATTGTTTCATTACTAATTACCCATAGTTATTACTGCTTAGTGATTATATATCTTTTGAGCAACTAGCTCCAAATATGTTTTTAAAAGATAAGCACTAAGAGAATACCATCAGTTTACATTAGTGTTTTTAGGTTATATCTAGCCAGCATGATGCTGAATAACCTGTTTAACTTGTTTTCGCTATATTAGCATATTAATAAATAATATCGTTCGATCACTCAGACTGCATTTGCACTACAACTTTAGTATGAATTCTGTCATTTGGGTAAATTGATAGTAATAATGATCTTAAAGACCCTCTAGGCTACTATGTTTCAGACTTAATTTTGACATGGTTGTCTTATTTTTAATAGCTTTTCAGGTTCATACTTAAGGATTCATAGCTTTCTTCTGAAGAACTGAAAGTCCATTCATGTGAATTATTTATTTTATCATACATCCTTTCTGTGTGGTAAGTGGTATTTTCCTTATTTTGAAGAGATGGAAACTGAGACCCAAGTTATTGTTAATATCCAAAGTCATAAGTGATAGAACCGGAAACCAAAGAAGTAGAAATTTGTATTTCTTATAGATCAAGGAGTAGCTTCCTTTTGCTCACTGTTACTTTAAATCTTAGAGTATAGTTATGTAATATATTGACCTCTCCTGTCATTCCCTGGGTACTTTTCACTTTCTCTAGGTAGGTTATTCAGGATATTAATTTCCATTTCCTCCTGATTATATCATTAACCTGAGTTTATTTCACATTGAACTTGTGGGAAACAAAAACTCAATAATCCCAAATCCTTACCATTTATTTTCCTACTAATAGTAAGCTTAGAAAGAATGAAGACATATCTGTTTAGGCTGGTGAATTGTATCACTATGCTGTGCTTTTCATCTTATGGTGGAATGGGGAAGAGACCATAAGAGCTAAATAGCTCTTTAATCTTCTACTGAGTCCAATCATTATAGCATATCTATTAATTTTTATTTTGAATTTTGTAAGTTCACACATAAAATTTTCAAATTTAACAACTTAGGACAAAATATAAAACTTTGAAAATTATGTAGGCCACGCTACATAATTATGTGGGTAATAGATGTTAACTGTTAATGGGTTTATTCATATCGAAATTATACTATTATTGTTTGCATACTTATACATTTAGAATCTCAAATCTTTTCTGAAAAATTTCTCCTAGAAACCTTTAGACTTTCATTGGAAGTTTTGTTTGATTATCCAACAAGTTAGTGGCTGTATCTTTTAATTACTTTGTAGATTTTATAGGGAGGATGGTTCATCAGGGTGACAGTTATAGTAGGAAAATGAAATTCTACTGATTTGTGACTCCTCACATTTTGCCATTATAAAAGCTTGTGTTTACTTTTTGCTGTTTAAAAAAAGGAACTGAAAAATATAAAAATGTTTAAATCATTCTCCCATCCCATTCTCACCCTGTTAAGAGTTTAGCTTTTCCTTCTAGTGTCTTTCTAAAATCCATATATAAACAAGCAATCTCTGTATACACCAGCATATATAAAGTGAGTTGTGCTATTCATCACTTACAGTTTATGTTTTTCACTTTTACCTATTGCTAATCAATCTCCTAATGATGGTGAGTTTTTTAATTATTACATTATTGCTGCAAGAAACCTCTCCACATAGATTCTTGTGTCCTGGAGGCAGATTTGTAAAAGTGGAATTACATGGTCAAACGGTTTTCATAAATAATGTCAAGTTGCGTTCCAAAAAGATGGCATAAATTTGCCTTCCTACATAAATTTGCCAATGCCAGATGTCTCTCAAATTTTATTAGTTTCATGAATTTTCAAAATGTAGTTTATACTTTATAAAAATTAACATTTATTTTTGTAAAAAGACATGCATTTGATAGTACAATATTAAACAGTGATAAAAGTACTGCCAAAAAAAATCAATTGCAGCAATCCTTTTCCCAATTCAGCTCTCTTGAGACAACTACTTTTAATTCATTTAGCTTTTTTATCTAGTATTTACCTCCATTATTCTAAATATTAGGTTTATATTACTCAGTGCATGAATTTTAGATACTCTCTTTTTACTTCCACTGTGTTGGGTGAAGAGTTACCATATATGCTCAAAAGTAGGTGAGGTTTCCCCACCTGCAGTCATCCCATCACCTTATATTCAAGGACTTGGTCACTTAACACAAGTTTTCAGTTTTATTTGATCCTTGTTTTCTAAGCATGCAGATGTTAAATAACAGAACCATAATTAAGAAAAAAGAGAAGAGCAGTTAAAATTTAACCCAGATTTAAGATCATTCCTCTGACTCATATTATTGGTGTTCATTTTAGCTGTATGGCCTTGGCCAAATTGCTTAGTCTATTTGAGCCTCTACTTCCTCATCTATAAAATGGGAGTAATAGTACTTATAAAGGTTAAATTTATCACTACACATTAAGTGCTTAGACTGTGCCTAACACTAAGTATCCTATAAATGTTAACTATTAATAATTATGAGACCTTTGCAAATCACCATAAAAAGTAATCCTGTAAGATGTTATTATGAAATTTACAAATAAACCCCTATAGGGCAAACTATGTTTCTTAACCAAATGAGATAAAAATGAAGAAGATTTACTCTGGAAAACTGTTAGATGATACAAAAAGTGAGTCTAATGACAGGTAAAGTATTCCAGAAAGTGACAAAAGCAGTATTTCTAAAATAATATATTCTAATATACTACTTAAATATGCATGTGTAGACTTCTAGGTCTAGTCTGATCCAATTTTCCCACCCACTTTTCTACAAACCTATAAAACCAACGAAGAGCACATATAAATCAAACACTACCTGTGCCTTCAGTATTATTAAGAAAGTTTAACACAACCTTCAGTTTACCTATAAGTAGAGAAATAAATCAGATTCTAAGAGCTCCTTGTCTTTGCTGTGGATGTGAAGAGTGGGTGAGGGAAAGCTTAACAGGTTCACTGAAAAAGTTTAGGGGCATGGAAGATTTAGATGAAGCACAAAATATCACTTCCAAGAGAAAAATTCCAACACTAAGTTCCAAAATACTGAATACAGGTTTGAAATCTGATAGTTTTTAGCTCTAACCACAGAGAAGAACTTGAAAATAATCTACCGAAACGGATAGCCTTAAATTATAAGCATTGCTTCATAGGGAAGGGGTGAAGATACGGAGGCTTGGAGAAATGATAGTGAAGAGAAAGAAAAGAGGAAAAAAATTAATGATGCTTCAGGAAAAGAAAGAGAAAGTAAATTTAAGATGTATTCATGGACTAGGAACTCTGATCATGAAATGAATCGAAAGAGAAAAGAGTGGACCATCTCCATACAGAGCTGCTCTAAGAAAGCAACAGTGTGAATCAGAGCATTTCAATTGATGGGGGAGGTGGGAAGGGGGCGCAACACCTTGAATCAGAAATATAAAAGTATAAAGAAAGGAAATAACAATAGGAAGAAATCAAGTTAGAGTAGTTCAAACTCAGAAAAGTGAAGGAAAAAAGTTGAAAAAAGTCAGAAATGAAGACTTCAGTTATAACAAAGTTCCCACTGAACAATAGATTCCAATGTGAATATAATAAAATACATTGAAGAAAAGCAGGAAAACAATCCAGAAAATGAGATTAAATTTTTTTGTTATTTGACAGTTTAAATGGAAGATGAGTCTAAAAAAGCCTACTGTGGCCTGGCCAGTGTGATTTGGTAGTTGGGCGTCGACCTATAAATCAGGAGGTCACAGTTCGATTCCCAGTCAGGGCACATGCCTGGGTTGTGGGCTGGATCCCCAGAGTAGGGCATGCAGGAGGCAACCGATAAATGATTCACCCTCATCATTGATGTTTCTGTCTCTCTCCCTCTCCCTTCCTCTCTGAAATCAATAAAAATATTTTAAATCTAATGTGTGTAATTATTGTCCCTAATAAGGAAAAAAGTATAATATTTAAAACTATCATCGAAGAAAACTCTGGAAATAAAAGATCTGAATCTGAACATCAAAAGTTCATATCAGAAGATAAACTCAACAGTAGAGCAACATGAGGAAAGAAAATGCTAACCAATGATTTTATATTCAGTCAACTGTCCTTCAAATGCCAAGACTATAGAAAAACAATTTTGACTATGCCAAGAACACGGGGAATACTGTACTCACTAGCCCTTCCTGAATAAATTTAAGGCTCAATTTCCTTAGGAAGGGTGGTTTTGGAAATTTTCTGCAAGATTGACAGCGAATACTTCATGTATTTTGTTTTGTTTTTTAGCCCAAGAAATTTTGGGTTTCAACAAAGAACCATTTGCCTGAATATTTACATTGATGTGGAAGTGAGCGTACACAGACCTCATCTTGTAACACCAATGTACCATCCTTGATCATCACATTCTGTACATGATTGCAGATAGTGTGAACAGGAGCCAGTTCATTTCTAGTTCCCCACTATTGGTCAGCCCTCTTTTTTCTTCCAAGGAGACCGAGTTCTACATTGACCTTCACAATAACTGCATCCCTGAATTCAGAGTGAGGTCAACATTTTCTGGAATGTTGACAGTCTGATTGCTGAGAATGGTCTTATCCTCACTATAGATGCAGCAAAAAAGGAGTTTTGTTTATCTTTTTGAACTAAGATTAAAATCAAGAGTAGGGACATAACTAGAATAGTACCTAAATGTTACCTGTTCTGACAAAAGAATGCAATCAATAAATTACCTGAGAGAAAGGGAACAGAACGGGAAAACTAGAATGAGGTTAATGCATATAGTTTATTAGGAGTGATTCAGAGGATTTCATCTGAAACAGAAAAGGTTAGGTAACAAAAAGATACCTAATGTACTGCAAAAGTGTTACCTTGTTATTGTACTCTGCTCTATTGTGCTTCGTAGATACTGCATTTTGAGTGTTTGTGGCAACCCTACACTGAGCAAGCTTATTAGAACCATTTTCCCAATAGATCTTGCTCAATTTTGTGTCTCTGTGTCACATTTTGGTAATTCTTGTAACATTTCAAACGTTTTCATTATTTTTTAAATACATACTTTTATTGAATTCAGAGAGGAAGAGCGAGGGAGAAACATCAATGAAGAGAGAGAATCACTGATTGGCTGCTACCTGCACTCCCCCTACTGGGGATCGAGCCCACAACCCGGGCATGTGCCTCAACTGGAATGGAACCTGGGACCCTTCAGTCTGCAGGCCGACACTCTATCCACTAAGCCAAACCAGTTAGGGCAAACTTTTTTATTTATTGTGATCAGTGATCTTTGACATTGCTATTGTAATTGCTTTAGGGAGCCAGCAACCACACCTATGCCAGACAGCAAACTTAATTGATAAATATTGTGTGTGTTCTGTTGGGTCATTCCCCATCTTCCTGCCCTGGGCCTCCTTAGTCTGAGACAACAATATTGAAATTAGGCCAATCAATAACCCTATAATGGCCTCTAAGTATTCAAGTGAAAGGAAGAGTTGTATACCTCTCACTCAAAATCTAGAAATGATTAAGCTTACTGAGAAGGGCATGTCAAAAGCTAGGCCTCTTGCCCAGCTGGCATGGCTCAGTGGCTGAACATCGACCTATGAACCAGGAGGTTAAGGTTTGATTCCCCATCAGGGCACATGCCTGAGTTGTGGGAACGATCCCCAGTGTGGAGCATGCTGGAGCCAGCTGACCAATGATTCTCATCATTGATGTTTCTATCTCTCTATCCCTCTCCCTTCCTCTCTGAAATCAATAAAAAATATATTTTTGTAAAA